CATGTTTTTGACATCTGGAAATTATTTGGCAACATGCTTCCTCTCCATTGATCGTCCTCCACAAAACTAGGTGCGCTCGCGTCATATCTGACATCCTACCCCTCCCTTCCATCCCCTAACATGGCGTAAATATCCTCTCTCTATTCGCAAAGTCGGATGTCGATCATGGCAATGATCGCGAGAGGGTACGCGATGAATGGTAGAGCACAGCATGGCATGACAGCATGGCATGGCGTAGAAGAGCAAGGCAGAACGTAGCATGACAAGTCGGGTGTTCGCTACAACGGGGGGGTAAATCCCCCTCGAAATCAAACGCAAGTTTTTCCCGCGACGTGGCGGCGCCCCAGGACCCAGAGACAAGTCGGGTTCGCTGCAACGGGGGGGGTACCCCCCCCCTCGAAATCAAGCGCAAGATTTCCCCGCGACGCGGCGCCGCCCCGGGACCCCAACATGTCGATGTCCGCGCCGAAATCGGCGACTGCAAACACAAAAATCGGACCCCGTGGGCCGCGTTTCGCGCGCGCGCGCCGACCAACACTAAAAACTTGCGTCTGCCTTCGAGGAGGCTTGCAATAATAAACGTGGGGCTCAGGAAAGTGCACTTCCGGGGCCGTTTGAAGGCCCCTTTAGGGCCACGTTCTCCCTGCAGTCCTCGCTCCCCCCCCACGTTCTGGGGGGCCACGTGCGAACCCTGCCCCTACCCCCCACGATCTCTGAGGGGGAGGGCCCGGGGGGGTTCACTTCGCTCGGGAGCTCCCGAGCGAAGTGAACCCCACCCTCCCCCTCAGAGATCGTGGGGGGTAGGGTCGGGCGTTGGTAGAACTGGGTTTAGGGGAACCTGGTTTAGTGATCTGTACTGGGAGCGCCCCCCCCCGTCCCATTTCCACTAACCGGAACTGCGGTCACCCGATAGTTGAGTGCTTCTGGCCAATTCGGAGGCTCCGGGGCCCTACCACTGACCGGGTCCCCCTACCCGGGGTCCTGGCCATACCCGATAGGGGCAGGGTCCGCACGTGGCCCCCCACGCGTCTGTGGCCCCCCCTTCGCCGCCCGCTCGCGAGCCGCAGCGTGCCGAGCCCTGGCCGCCCGGCAGCGGGCGTGCGGAGGTCTCTCTCTCTCTTGCGCCACGCGTGGTGCCGTGGCCGAGGAGTCGGGAACCTCCACGGAGCCTCTGGGGGCTCTGGGGGGGGCCTGCGGGACACGTGCGGGTCAGGAGGAGGAGGAGCCAGCGCGCCGAGCGGAGGAGAAAGAATAGGACGGTGGGGGAGGAGGAGGCGAAGCAGGAGGAGGAGGAGGTTGAGGCTGAGGTTGAGGTTGAGGAGGAGGAGGAGGAGGAGGAGGAGGAGGAGGAGGAGGAGGGAGGAGGAAGAGAAGATGGGGCGATGGAAGAGGAGGACGAGGAGGACGAAGAGGATGGATGAGGAGGACAAGGAGGTAAGGTAAGGCTCCGCCGAGGTCGAAGCTCCGACGATCTTGGGAGAAGACTCGGGCTCCCCCTCAAAACTACTCACCGGCACTCCTCGAAAGGTGGGCGCCAGCGACGGTGCCTTTCGGCACACGTCGGCGCACGCCCGAAATCCGCCAGCTTGCTGTTGCGCGCTTCTGTACTTTGGAATGGAAATGGAATCGAGGAGGAGATGGACGAGGAAGAGGAGGAGGAGGAGGAGGAGGAGGAGGAGGAGAAGGGGAAGGAGAAGGGGGAGGGGGAGGGGAGGAGGGTCTGGAGTGGTACGAGAACTTAGAGAGCGCAGGAGAGAGGAGCGCAGGCAGGGCATGGGAGATTGGGACGGAGAGGGGACGTGGGCAGCGGGATGAGGATCGGGACGAACGACACGGGTACGGGAACAAGTGGGTACAAAGTCCCAGAGTAGTTCTTGCTCATTCTCAAAAGGTTTCGCTGTCGGCGTCGCCGCGGTCGTTCTCCATTTGAGACAGGAGGCCGCCTGCGCAACAGCGGCTGCTGCCACTTTTGGCTAGCCTTCGTTGTTGAACACCGTGCCCACTTGTCCGTGCCCAGCTCGGGCGTCCGAAGAGGAGGCCGAGAGAGGGGGGGGGGCTCGCTGGGATCGGCCCCAGAAGGCAGCGGCATGCCGCCGAGAAAACACCACCAAGCCATGCCTGCCGCACGGCTGGCCGACGAGGCGGAGCCGAGGCCGCACCCTGCGCGTGCCCTCGCGGTCACCCTCCGGCCGCGCCCGCGCGGCCCAGGCAGGTCGGGCAGGAGCGCCAGGAAACGTGGAAAGGCGCCAGGCCCAGGGGGGCCCAAAGGGGCCCCACATCGGCGGTGGAAAGACCTCCCTTCAGCAAACCTCCCCTCGGTGAAGACGGCCTGGGGCCGAAGCCGACGGACCTGGACCCGCAAAAAAGCGACGGCCGCGACGCCCTCTCGCGAGCCGAGAACGGCCCATTCCTTCATCGACGTGCCAGGGCAGGAGGTCGATCCACCTCCGACCAAAGTGGAACGACGAGGCCGGGGGGCACCTTGGGCCAGGGGCCCCCTTCCGGCAAAATACCCCCGATGCTGGCGGCCCCTCTCTCGGGGTCCGGGCGCCGGCCCCGAGAGGCCGACGGCGGCCATGGGGGGGGCCCATGGCCGCAGGCCGGGCACGCCCTCCTACGGGCGGCGTGTGGAAGACACAGCAGCAGTGGTCAGAAAGTGTTCAAACGCAGTCGAAACTCGTCGAACCTCGTCCCCAGACTACGTTCTGCCAACTCTTGAGCATTCCGCCTCTATAGAGGGACATGCCCGACTTCGCCCAGGCCCCCCCGAGACAGGAAAAAGAAAGAGCGCCCGTCGGCTTGGGGTTATTTGTGGCCTCGCGGCGAGGCCACAAATAGCCCCAAGCCGACGGTGCCTCGTGGGGCCGCGGGGCCGGCAAAGAACGACACAGCTGTGTCGTTCCAGGACGACAAGCCGCTCCAGGGGAAGGGGCCGAGACCTCTGGGGGCCGACGTGAGGAAAAGGCCACGACGTCGGGGGCCCGGGGGGCACAGAACCCCGTTCCCCCAGGGGAGGGGGAGGGGGTCGAGACCTCTGGGCGCCGGCGCGGTGAAAAAAAACACGACGGCGGGGGTCCTGGAGGCGCAGAGCCCCTTTCCCCCATGTACCCCTCTGTTCCCAGCAAGCGCGCTTCGCAATAGCGAGAGAACCTTTCTTGCTTCTTCTCGCCTCCGGCCCGGGGGCTCGCTCGCACAGGAGTTCTGGAGGCCGCCGCGCGCGCGCGGTGACCTGGAGGGACCCAAGGGGCGGCCAAAGCCAAAAGCCCCGGCTACTGGTTGATTGACCGCGCGAGGGGGGGGGAGGCCCAAACCCGCATTTTAGCACCCCCTGGGCGCGTTGTCTGGATTGCTGGGGGGGCTCGAAATCGACACCCCTCACACAGATCGGCGGGGTCAGGGTCCAAAAACACAAGGGATTTGCCACATTTCTGAAATTCGGTGCCACCCCTCACGCAGATCCGCGGGGTCAGGGTCCAAAAACATATAAGATTTGCCAAATTTTTGAAATTCGGTGCCACCCCTCACGCAGATCCGCGGGGTCAGGGTCCAAAAACTCAAGGGATTTGCCACATTTCTAAAATTCGGTGCCACCCCTCACGCAGATCCGCGGGGTCAGGGTCCAAAAACACAAGGGATTTGCCACATTTCTGAAATTCGGTGCCACCCCTCACGCAGATCCGCGGGGTCAGGGTCCAAAAACACAGGGATTTGCCACATTTCTGAAATTCGGTGCCACCCCTCACGCAGATCCGCGGGGTCAGGGTCCAAAAACACATAGGATTTGCCACATTTCTGAAATTCGGTGCCACCCCTCACGCAGATCCGCGGGGTCAGGGTCCAAAAACACAGGGATTTGCCACATTTCTGAAATTCGGTGCCACCCCTCACGCAGATCCGCGGGGTCAGGGTCCAAAAACACAGGGGATTTGCCACATTTCTGAAATTCGGTGCCACCCTTCACGCACATCCATCGCAAGGCGTGGTAACCCAAACTGCGAGAACTCCCTCGGCCCTTTAATCGCAAGGTGTGGTAACCAAGCCCGTAAACCATACACGTCTTACCAATCGCCAGGTGTGGTAACCCCTCTTGTGATCAGTTGGTTTTGCTGATTGCGAATCGGCTTCGCATGAAGTTTCGATACTGCTTCACGACAGCGCCAAGGCCTCATGACTTAGCTCTTCCATGGCCCATTCTCCGAGAGAGGGGGCCGGCGACAGGGGGCGAAGCCCTTACGGATATATATATATATATATATATATATATATATATATATGTACGTCGATACATACAGCAAAACATAATTTTCACAAAAATCGTTCCCAGGCTATGTTTGTCTATGTTTGGATATTCTCCTGCAGAGGGACATGCCCGACTTAAGGCCAATCCGGGGTCCACCTCCTGACGCTGGGGGGCCCTCGCCGCCCTCTCGGCCACTGCCCGGCGGCCGCGAGCTCGAGCCTCCCCAGCGGAGGCGACGCCGCAAGAGAAGCCAGCGCGCCCTCGATGACGAACGAACGACACACACCCATACCCATAAGGGGGTCGTTGGCAGGAGGACTGGCTATGGGTATGGGTGCAGGTTGTCGGACCCTAGGGAACGCTCCCGTTCGAGCGGGGACCCCCATCCGACAACACGCACCCATAGCCCTTTCCGACCCCCCTGTGGGTATGGGTGTGTGTTGTTGGTTCGTCACTCGAGCGCTGGCGTGCGGAGGTGCTGCGCAGGTCGCCTGGCCGCCGCGGCGGCAGGCCGCGCCTCGGAAGGGACCATAAGGCGCGCAGGCCGCGCCCGCGAGAGTCTGCCCGAAGTGCCAGGAGCGCCCGCGAGAGCCTGCCCGAGGTGCCAGGAGCGCCTGCGCCCGCCCGGCCCTGGTAGCCGCCCGACATGTCCCCACGAGTTCCTCGGGTTCTGTTGGGCGTGTCCCCCATACAGGGGGATTTTCGACGACAAATCAAAAATACCCCCAAAATGCACCCAAAAGGCCATGTATATATATAT